ATATATATATGTATATTAGCCAACAAATGTTGAAAACAGGTGGCACTAAGGTTGTATCCATGTCCTTGAATCACTACTGGTGGTTTGTAGTTTATTTTTGCTCTGGTAAACTTCAGTTCCTGTAATATCTCTGCTGGTTAGTTTCAGTTTGTAACTTCTGTGTTTTTTTATTCTTCAACACAGAGCTGCCATTTGGCACACATGCAGTAAAACATGCAAACTAGTTTCTAAATTATTCATTAATCAAGAATAAAGCATCACAAATCATTTAAAAACAGTTTTAATTTATTCACCAACAAACACTTTGTTGTTTTTTATAACTTTGAGTGAAAAATCTGCAACSGGGCATCCTTGTGTGATGCAGCCCAGAGAAACGATGTCTACGTGTGGAGAGAAATACAAAGTGATGTTGTCTGGACTGATCCCTCCACTGGCTTCGATCTGAAGAGTCGGGAACTGGTTCTTTAGAGTCCGGGCCGCAGCGTGGAGCTCCTGCAGGTGGGAGACGTGATGAGAAGTGTTTCTGTCGATGTGAGTTTTTATTTTTTTAAATCCCCCCTACCTGAGGTTGAAAGTTGTCCAGCATGACGATGTCTGCGCCGGCTGCAGCTGCTTCTCTGCCCTCCTCAGCCGAACAACACTCGACCTCCATCTTGCTGCTGAAGCYGCACACGGACCGCGCCGCCTTCACGGCCTGAAAACAAAAAACTGCTTTGTGTTGACTCTCAYTCGTGACGGTTTCTGCAGATGTGTAATCATCACTCGGCTTCAAACTGCAGTGTGTTGCAACGTTTTATCACTTCCTGTGACATTCTGACCTTTTAGCAAAATAAGAGAAGTTGCCTTTTCCTCAGTTACAGGAATGTTCAGGGTCGTGGGCGTGGTTTGAGCTCCTCCAGAGGACACGCCCCCAGCGTTCCAGACCACAGCTAACTGATATTTATTCATTACATTTAACACATAATTGTATAAGGTTAACAGTATTTTTAATTGTTCAAACTTGGCAGGGTGATTTCTAACACATATTTCTGTGGTGTGACAACATCAGAACACACATTTATTTTTACTTTACACKGCCTTTAATTTTCACACTTTTGACTTTAATATGTGACTTGATCAGAAATGTTGAGCTGGGTTTAGAGAGTACTGAAAGTACTGCATGTACTGAAAGTACTGAATGTATTGAATGTACTGAAAGTACTGAATGTATTGAAAGTACTGAATGTATAACGTTTGTTTTGTTGTCGTAGAGTAAAGGTCCACCTCTGTGATGCTTCCTGATGCCCAGATGTGGTTGTCCTTCAGCATCACCATCCCGCTCAGGTCCTGCCTGTGCATGGAGGCCCCGCCCACCAGCATGGCGTACTTCTCCACCAGCCGAAAGCCCGGCGTGGTCTTCCTGGTGCCCGCCACTTCTCCGTGCCAGCCCGCGACCTTCGCCCGCGCCCTGAGCTGTGAACATTGGGTGGCGATGCCCGAGGCCCGGGCCAGGCAGTTCAGAGCCGGACGCTCCCCGAGGAGGAGGCACCTCGCCGGGCCTCTCACCACGGCTGTCAGGGTGACCTCATCTGGACCTGTTGATGTTGACAAACAGGATGTCTTCTGTGGGTAAGTGAAAGAGCCGTCTGGGTGGAAACTTTGATTTTCAGCATCATGAAGTTTGAGAAGCAGCAGCAGCTCCTAATGCAGGGCTGTCCAAACATTTTGTCACATGGGCCAAAATCCTAAAGTCAGAAGGACYTGAGGGCCAAAAATAATTTTYCTTTACCTGCTCAACAATAAATTGAGCATTGAATACTTTAATTAAACAATTAAAGTAGTCAGATTTATTGCTGGAAATGGATGTGTAAATTAATCTAGATCCAGAACTTTAAAAGGGTTTTGCAGGATTCCCTTATTGAAAGAAATTTTGCAATTTTCTGGGTTTCAATTGGGGAAAAAATAACCCACAGGATTTAGGTCACTCTCATTGAAAATACTTGCTGTATTCAGACAAATTGAATAAATTAATTAAAAGGAGTGCAGCAAAATCAGCTTCTGAGGAGAAGTCACTAAATAGACATGGATAAAGCTAAGAGTCTGGTTATTTAAAGACAAATAATTGGTATTGTTGCCATTATCTTTTATAATAAGATTTTACTTTGTGATAAATTTGCCTTAATAATAAATTGAAAGTCTCCATCTACATCAAACAGTTGTTCCGGGGGGACAAATTTGTAAACATATTTGTATAATTCTTGAACTATTAGAGTTATTATTGGAGCTAAATACAGAGATCATACAAACCCAATATTTGTACAACTGAATATACTGAAACTTCATCATTTGATTGAGTATTTTAAAATTTATGTACGAAGCACATAAAATAATGTTACCAAACAATATTCAACTCAGATTTATTA